ACTTATTTTACTTTCTATATTCTTATTTTTCTTATGCACTTTGTCAAAATGTTTTGTTTGTGTAAAGCACTGATTTGACATGAATACAAATACAAAGCAAAAATTTATACGTTTATTGCACAATTCTAAAATTTATGTATGTTTATTGACTTACATGTACAAATTTAGACTCTTACAATTAATTCTGACAGTTATCTTATCCCATACTTATTTATTACAAAAATTTGATGTCACAGGCACTTTTAACTTGTATTCTGATGTTTTTAGCTGGTGTTCAGCTAATTTTGCTAGTTGTTGGAGCTTCAGCAAAATCATTCAGCTCTCAGCATTCACACTGTAATTCTGCACATAATGCAATGTAAATGTAAATAGTTTCCAATACATTTCTGAGGTGTTCGTGTGAATAATGAAATATTCCTTCCCCATAAATCTCCTTTTGTGAGTGTAGAAGTTTTAAAATGATGAGCTCTTGATGCCAGAATGAACTGTGGCTTGGAAGCTTTGTGACATCGGTGTGTGTGTTTGCGCCAGCATGCAGACGTGTGTGCGTCATCTACAAACAGCTGAAATGAGAGACAATGGTTGCGGTCAGGGCATTTTTCTTCGGTCTCCATGACAGTATTAGTTTTGGTAAGCTAACTGCACCGTTACAGAAGCTTTTCAGCTCTGCTTATTCATTGTGCCGTCTGACCTCACAGTCACTAAAACAATCCAAAATGGTTTTGTAGACAGCCATAATTACTGCAGACATGAGGCGAGCAGAGGAAAGAAGCATGGCTGTGACTGAAAAGAAAATAAACTAATAAAAAATGATGTAATAAACAGCTGAAAAAGGTCAGTTAATAACAACAGATGCCAAATCTCTTTTTAATTGTGTGTTTGTGTGTTAGCAAAATACCTCACGGTTCATTAGGTATTTTACTGGACAAATTTTAGTGAACAAATATTAATAACACTACCAGAAATCTCATGCCTCACCGGATAGGTTTTAATGAAACTTTCAGGAAATAGTCACTGAATCTTCTGAACGTTCCTAACATAAACCAACCACAGAAGTTAAGATCTGAGGAACTCCACTGATGAACATCTGTCAGCTTCTCTTCTCTCTTCTTTACAAGCAAAGGCAGAAAAAGCAAAGTTATATAATAAACATGTGTCGTGGTTTAGTTTCTATTAAAAAAAAAGCCTTACTAAAACATCTGATTGTATTTGAGCTTCTCTGCTCTAAAAACAAAATATCCAGTGAGAAAAGGCTCTCAGACTAGTACTCAACTTGTTTATAGAACACTGATTAGTTTGAGGGGGAGCGTCATTAAAATTCCAGAAAATAACAAGATTTATTGGTATTTTATTTGTTTGAAAAATAAATGCCAGCTCAGCAAAGGCAGTAAAACTCATCACAGTACTGATTTAAATTCTAATCATGTAACCAATGTAGCAGGGGTGCAAAGGGTACAGAAGCACTCCTTCGCGGATGTCAGAGGACAGGCATGTCTAAATTTATAGCTAAATAATGAATG